CCGTTAAGTTCTATTGCCAAACCGATTAGTAAACCCATACAATCAACATCAATATATATTAGTCAAACAAATGCGGAAAATAAGATATGTTTGATACTCAGCCACACGTGGCAAATACGGGCACGCAGGCCCCCAAATGTTTAATAGAAAACATTGTTAAAATATCCATGAGCAGTTTATCAATTTTGAAGAAGAATGGAAGCACGAACCACGTCTTCCTCCTCGATCAATCACCCTAGGCAAAGGTGCAGGTAGTAGGACTCTAGCCTTAACCTGAAAAATGTGAGGGCCCCCGAAGGGGTCAGTACTCCATAGAAGTACTAGTGACAAGCAGGCTATATGAGGAATAACTAATGTTTCAGACACGAGACCCAAAAATAGGGTGATACATATGTTTATAGGCGTAACCTTTGTTACCCCATTCCCAAGATAATACATACTGTATATACTTGTAAAATACTTGACCCGTAGGTCGTTTTCTCACAAAAAGTCTTTTAGAGATAAGGTGCTTACCCAACCTTTCCCCTTTCTTTCCTGAATGCCTAGCTCAAGGGCTACATTCTACCTTCATAATATCCTACCGAGTTTCGGGAGTGTTTACCGTCCCGGGGATGCTCAACCCCAACCGAGTTTTGGGATCATTTACCGTCCCGAGGATACTCAACCTCAACCGAGTCTTAGGATTGTTTACCGTCCTGAGGATACTCAACCTCACCGAGTTTTAGGATTGTTTACCGTCCTGAGGATACTCAACCTCACCGAGTTTTAGGATTGTTTACCGTCCTGAGGATACTCAACCTCACCGAGTTTTGGGATCGTTTACCGTTCCGAGGGTACTCAACCTCACCGAGTTTTGGGATCGTTTACCGTTCCGAGGGTACTCAACCTCAACCTTATTCCTTACCAACCCTAACTTGGATATGGCTAACCTTTCATTCACTTAACTATGGACAATACCTAGTCCTATAGTCATGTAACAATCCTTAGTAACCAACGTGGACGGGTCCCACCTGATCGGTCCACGTTAACCTACTCAAAAACTACCCGTTTTGAGTATAACCCAATACCCGGTCGGGTATCAAACATTACCCGGTCGGGTAGGGCGGGCAGTAGCCTCTGGATGCCAATTCTACTTGAGACCCGGTCGGGTCTAGTGTGGCAGTGGCTTCTGGAGCCACTTTTAATCAATACCCGGTCGGGTATATACCCATACCCGGTCGGGTATCACCCTTTTCTCGGCGGTCAACGCCCGTTTGACCGCCCAAACGAAGTCCGATTAACGTGAAATTTTATACACATGTACTTATTGTCATCCTTGATCCAAAAATACCATTTTGGATCCTTAGAATATCGTACATAGTAAGTTATCACATTTTAAATCATCAAACATACATAACATGCTTTTCAACTATGTTTTATGGTTAAACATGGCATAAGCAAACACTTGATTATCTTTAATCATTCCATAAAACATATTTTTGATTACTTTAGGTAATCTCATGCCTCACGCAAAAGTTATAAAGCATATAGCCGTCTTCTCACCTTAATGAAGCTTATGAAGTCCTAGCCTTTCTTGTTGAGCTCCGGCGAAACTCCGACGAAACTCCGACGAACTTCAACGAGCTCCGGCGACAACTCCGGTGACTCTTTCAACACCGTGGAAGTTCTTGAAATACTCATATTTTATTGTCTTTGATCCCAATCAACTCAAGCCCCCTCCTCCTATCCTTTGTGCGGCTCCCCTTGGAAATTGCAGCATAAAATCGTGGGGATGGCCCCCACTTAGATGGGTGGTCATCCCTTGCGTCCCCGAGTGTATATTCGGTCCCGAAAGTTGTATTTTTCGGACTGTTTTAACTATGATTCCCTTTATCGGGTCAAATGAAGTATGTATCATTCTTCCAATTATTATTGGCCTTAAGAGTGAATGTATATCCCCCAACTTTTAATTTAATGGTCACCATAATTTATTATGGCTTTTTATGTGTTAGTACTTTGGTACCGATAAATGGGCTTTGTATGCCCAAATGGTTACGCATATAACTTCCATGGCCCAACAAGGATATCCACCATCATACACATATTATCTTGACCCAAACGAATATAATATGTGGTCCCGAACATATCGAGTGACCCCCACTTCCGGTGTGGGCCCCACGTGAATTCTATTATTCACGTAAAAGAAATGATAAAAATTTACAATTACGTAGAATGCATTTATTCATTTCTCAGGGTTCGATACATACTTTGATAAGTACAATTACTTGGGGGCGGTGTTACACCCGACCTCGGCGCACCCGAGGTCGGTGCAGGCCCTGACCTCAGAAGTCAAACCCAGAGTCAACGGTACAACACTGAATAGTCAACTACCCCTAAAACAGGAGCTAGGGACAACAAGGCAGAACCCCACAACATGAGGTCGAGCTCTCAGATACTGACCTCAATGGCCCCTGAGGTCAGCACGAAGCATTGTGTCCTTGGATAAAATCCGCAAGGACTCGTCTCACTAGAGAGCACCGCCACGTCACTCTCTGCACCAGAAAAGTACTCCACATTACTCGCGTGCGGCTGCACGAAGCTGCTGTAAGGAAATCTGTTAGAAGAATGATCAATCAGCCAGCTATTGAAGGTTCTCTCTCCAATCAGCTTTACACGTGGCGGCTTCCCAGCGGACTAGGCCGTTAGTTTGTTAAATTAACTTTACACATGTCCCTCTCCTATTAGACTAACATCTTTTTGCTTGGCCATCAAGTATTCCCCTTTTCTCCTTAGTATAAATATCACCTTCCAACTTGTGGAAAGGGATGCTTAATCTATTGCATTCTTGAGACTTGAATATATACTTTACGATCTGTACTTTCTGATCAGTTCACTCTCCTTACTAACTCTTATTCTCGGTGGATTCCGGCCACCCCTGGTCCGACGATCCATCAGTTGCCATTCCCATGACGAAATAGACCAGCCGACATGATTGAAATCCTCGGACAGGGGGCATGTCGTCAGGTAATAAACCTGACGAGATGATGAGTGAAATTGTCTGAATATAGACAGGTTCTGACAATAGATATTTAGTTTCATATACATATTCTTAATTTATTACTTCGATTTATCTATAAACAATAACTAACTTGAGCATTGGAGAGCCGTTGGCTAAAAGCCAACGACCAACGACGTTAGCAAAATATTTTTTGCACAGGTACAATCAAGAGTTGACGATGACGGAATCCTAATATACAACGCCTCATAACACGTCAAAACACTATTGACGGGGGGCTTGCATCAATCAAAGCCTTACAACACGTCAAGATACCATTGAAGGGGGGCTTACGGAATTTTAGGGGAAGAAGTGGGGTTTTCATGTACGCTAAACATGAGTATAAACACCACCGATTCTCCACAATGTTTTGGCCAAAACAACAACAAACAGATCATACATCACAAATGCTGACAACATCAAAGTTAGACAAACACAAAACAACAAACAGAACATACAATACGAACGACATTGGCATACATCATAAATATTCATATCGACGTATTACTAAAACCATAAACGAAACATTATTCAAAGCTTTTGCAGGATTTTGATTACGTTCATGCAACCCGACTCGTCATCTCTAGCAAACAGACGATGTTCCTTTGACCAGCTGAAGTGTCGACATCAACCCGGTCGAAGTTTCAACATTGCCTAGATTATATGAGCTATATTCAAGGATGACGTGTGTAGATGTTTTCAAGATTTTGACAAGTTGATGCTTAATGGGTTGACATGTGCGCCCATACGCCTCAACTTCTCGAAAGGGGGCAAATGTTAGACCCAGAAAAATATGCATTCGGATGGGCCAATAGATACCAAGCTAAGAAGGGATCCACACGGCCCATAAGCTGGCTAAAGTCCTCTAACGTGAATAATAATTCAAATAAAGGATAAGGATTGAAAAAGTCCACAACAAGAGGAGGGGAAGTTGCACGTGGAGGAAAATTAGGAGAACAATTGCTACACTTGGGGGAAAAGTAAATTTCATTGTATAAATACACTACCTAAATTACATTGTAACACATGTTCAATAGTAATCAAGTATACATTCATTATTATTCATCAATACTATTATTACCCAATTTATATCACATATTAATTCGTCCATTATTGATTCAATATTGTTAGAATCCCAACACAATTTGTTTTAGACTAGTTTATTTCTAGCATAAACAGTGGACGATAGGCGATAACCTTTAAATACGACGGAGGGAGTACTCCGTATGGAGTAATCAAATCAAAATAATAAATAATTAAAGAAATACGAAGTTGTTCTCTTCGTCTTATTCTTATTACTTATTGCTTAATGTTATTTTATTCACATCAAATCTGAAAAATTCAGATCAGATCAGATCAGAAACATTCAGATCAGATCATATCAGAAACATTCAGATCAGATTAGATCAGAAAATTTCAAACATGATTTATCACTTTTATTATTATTAATATTATAATATAAATATTATTAGTATAATTATAAGTATTACTCGTATTATTTTTATTAATAAAGTTGAATTTATTAATATTATTATACAAGGTAATTATACTTGTATTTATAATTATAATTATAATTATAGAAATAAATATTATAATTATAGTTTGAATTATAATTATATAAGTAATTATAATTAAAAATATAATTACAATTGTAATTGTATCTATAGTTATAATTAGTGTAATAGGTATAATTATTATAATTTTAAATTTACTTATTATTATTATTATTATTATTATTATTATTATATTTTTTATAATAATTTTATTTATGTTATATTTGTAATTACAATAATAATTATAATTATATTTATAGAAATATTCCAATCAGATCAGATTAGAAAGATCATATCAGAAGTATTCAGATCAGATCAGACCAGATCAACAACATTTAGATCAGATCAGAAAGATTCAGATATATCAGAACAGAAAAAATTCATGGGACCAGACTTTAAAAATTCTGATGAGAAACATGGAGATGTAGAGAACAACTTCTAAGACGTCATAATTAACATCTGATTGGTCGATGTATTGTTAGAGAAGTCCCAAATAACATCGGAGGAGGTGAGGCGGTCAAGCAATCGATAGAAAAAGGCAGGACCAGTTTCCCTTTGATGTAACATTGACCAGGAAGCTCGAAACCATTCGATATCTCAAGGACACGGAGATGGCAAAGAGGCTGTTCAGCGGCGGCGAATTTCAGGTTAGTTTCTTTGAGATCGGGTCTTCCCTAGTAAAAATAAAAAAATTAAATCTCAGTTGCGGTTGTTTGTTGTTATCATTGTTTTTGCATTTATTCAATCGGAAAAACAACGAAGCTTTATAATTAGAATTAGAACAACCCTACGGCAGAAGCAGTTGTCTAGAAGATGGTTTAAACGAGCACTACATTTTTTGGACAGGGTGACCGAAGGTGGCCGCCTAATTTAAGGAGATGCTGTCAAGCTGTCAATCCTGGAGACGGTGAAGGCACGAGTGCTGCTGATCTAGGTAATCAATTATAAATAGATAGCATCAATGGTTGGTTGATGGCCGGTTATTTACTACAATTTTCATAATATAAATAAATAGTAATCTTGTTGTGTGTGATTGTTACTTTGAGCTATCAGTGGGCACCAACTGGCTGAAGGAGGGTGTTAATGAAGACACGTTGTTGGAGATACTAGCTAGGCTACCAAATAGTCGAAATGCGGTTCATGCAGGGCTGGTTTGTCACCTTTGGCATTCCGTCATCTCTCACAAGCAGTTTATTCCCAGGTTCATTGGCCTCCGGGAGCATAAGAAGAAAGAGCAGCCCTATTCCATCATATTCCGCATAGTTGATGACTATTTGGATGTTGGAGATGAGTTTTATCAGCCCATCTGCAAACTCTTTTCGGAGGAATCCGTGCTTCTCCACGGGGGAGAGGCGGTGACATCATGCAAAACTTATCCTCCTTCAGGCAGCAGTGGCGGCATCCAGCCTCCTTCACCCAACATGGTCATAAGAGCATCTTGCGGTGACTTGCTGCTTTTGTCGCAAGGTGCACGCGACTATAGGGATAAGCCAAACTCCTACTATCTATGTAACCCAGTAACCAAACAGTGGTTCCATCTCCCCCATGTTTATTTCAATATAATGTTGGTTGGGTTTGCACTAGTACGCATGCCGCCGCCCCATAACAGCTGTGGCAGTTACGAATACAAGGTGGCTTTCATTCATTTTCCCGAAGTTTCTGAAGATGAGGATTTGGCCGGGGACAGTTTGAATTTTAGAATGGCTATTTATTGTTCAAAATCAAGAAAGTGGAGTCGTAATTCATGGTTTCGATATCCTATACCTACTACCACTAGGAAACCTAGGTTTTTCATTAACCCAATCACTTGTAATGGAACTATTTATTGGTTGAATTGCAACAAGGTTCCTGACTACATCATTGCCTGTGATTTGGCGAATAACCCACACTCTACTACCTTTGTCAACCTTCCTGAAGACTCTATGCCTGGTGGTACGGGTGTTGTTTCACTAGAGTTGGGCGCTGTCCTGGGGGAATTGAGATTATTCAATGTATTCCGCCCGTCTTCGGTTGACCAGCAGCAGTCTTGGCATCTCGTTGTTGTGAAAGTTTGGGAGTTGAATCACAGAACCAATTCGTGGACTCTTGTTCATGACACACGCTTCAATGATAGGCCGCCGCTGCCTAATGACGTCCAAGTAGAAGAAGAAAACGAGTTCAACATCCGTACGGTTGCTTTCCATCCACACGACGGGGATGTGGTCTTCTTGGTATGCAGCTGTGGTGTTTTCCGGTATCACATTTCATTGGGTGTCTATGAGCAAGTCAACGAGCTCCCCGCTTCCGTGCCTCCAAGCCATCTTCTTACGTCCTTCACTCTCCTCCACTCTCATTGGCCTGCCACCATGTTGCTCTCTCGTTCAAAATAGAATAGTTATTGTTATTGCTATATTTGACTCGCTGTTAATGTGTTAGCGCACACATACTACGCATAGTATTGTGAAAGAGTGATGAACATTATTGGTTTGGGAGTGTAATCTTGACCATGAGGGTTCTCAACATTTCTCCTACATTTTTCAGTTTTGTACCCTTTGTCCTTACACTTGATTGTTCCCCACTTGATAGTTCACTCCCGCTCCTTTTTTCTTGTTCTCAATCTTTCATTTGCTTTAGTTGTAACCAATGTTGTAAATATCTCTATCGGTAGTATATTTGATACTTCATTTTTTAATAATATCACTTCATAATATCACTATCACAAAAAAAGTGTATTATGTATTAAATGTGTCGGAACTCGGAAGTAAATGCCAACTTTTTTTATTCCAAGTATAATTGTATAAAGGATCTACTTCTTGTATTTAACATATGCATTTTGAAGTAATATTTTACTTTTAGTTTTATATGTTCAGTCCATTTTTTAGTGTAACTAAGGGAGTGTTTGCAACAGCTTCTGCTTAAAAAAAAGCACTTTTGGAGATGAAATGAAAAAGTGATTAGTTGTAAAAGTTGATAGTGTTTGAGAAAAAAGTGATTTTGAAAAGTAAAAGTTGGTTGTGTTTGGTAAAATAAGTGCTTTTGGTGTATAAAAAGGGGAAAAGCACTTTTGACACGAAAGCCGAGAAAAGTAAAAAATTGGTAGTGTTTGGTAAATAAGTGCTTTTTTAAGTCAAAAGCTGAGAAGTGCTTTTTTTAAAGTTGTTGCAAACCAACCTTAATACTACGTCTAAGCCTGGGAGTTAGAGTTGCATCCACTGATCCAAGTGTGAAGTGTTGAAAACTTGAAATCTTGGGGTAGTGTATCCAATGTATATATTACAGAAAAAGATTTGCATATCTTCTTACATCCATAAAAACTAAAGAGCTTACAATCGAATTCTTCAACTCGATTATTCTAATCCAAATATACTTTCATACTTCATAGTTTCATAGGGAGAATTAAGGGGTGGACTCGGGCCGGTCGGCCCGACCCGGGCCCGGCCCGGCCCGGTCACTGTTTGGCCCGGCCCGTGGCCCGGTGGGTCCACCGGTTCGGTTTGGCCCGGCCCGGGTGCTGGGCGGTCCGGGCTCGGGCCCAGCTTTTGGTGAACCGGTCCGGGACGGATTTTAATTTATTTTTTTTTTGAATTTTTTTTAAGTTTTAAGTTGGATTAGGTATTTTGGGCCATTTGAGGTGGTTTGGGATGGTTTGGGGTTGAGGGGGAGGGGTAGGGGGTTAAATAAGAGAACCAAAAACCAAAAAAAAAATGTGTGGGCCGGTTGGCCCGGCCCGGCCCGGAACCGGAACCGGCCACCGGCGGTTCGGGCTCGGGCCTAGAATTTCTGAACCGCGAATCGGCCGGGCTCGAACCGACCCGAGTCCACCCCTAGGGAGAAATCTGTGATTGAAAAATCAATTGCTCTCCTTAGCCATGACATTATCAATAGCTTCGTTCTCCTAAAACACACGATGTCTCAAGGAAGTTTCAACGAGCATGGGGCCATGCCATCGGCCAGAAGGCCGAGAACCTCCATCTCTGGTTATTTATTGCAAAAAGTATTCCCAAAAGGCCAAAACAAAAGCCACTGTGGAGCCAAATCCATGACAATTCTGATGTGTTTGTAGTCATGTGAGATGTGAGAAGAAGATGGATCATTAGAATTAGGTTGAGAGAAACTTTGGACGGCTATTCATTTGCTAGTATTGTAGTAAAAGTTATGGAAAAATTGTTTGGAACATAGTAATTGAAAATATGGTCATATTAGAACACGGGCCACTTTGTGTGGTTCTTTGATATGTGCACCATTTTAAATGGGAATTGTTTTGGTACTTGGAGGAATCCGATATGTGCAAACCAACGGTACTATTCGAGCTTATCTTTGGCAGAAAGTATAAGAGGCAAAATTGCAAATACCCAAATCACTCTTTTGTAGCATACTAGAAGGCTAGAATAGAAATAATAAAGAACCAAACCACTACTCATCTGAGGCTCCTAAACCAAGTTCCTGTGTGGCTGTGTTACCTGTGTATCGGATGAGGATGTGTATCAGATGATAGTAATGAGGGGGGGGGGGGGGGGGCATGTACAAATAATTCTACCAAGAAGCTTATACTAAGAAACAGTAGGAAAATGATGTATCAACCCTAAGGATTTCTAAGGGCAGCCAATCTCTTCTCCAGTTCATCAACTCCCGAGCTGTTGACAAGAAGAGTTATTATAAATATGAGAGAAGGTTGATGAATTAACTCTTTTCAAAGCATATAATAAGAACATTTCCCATTTCCTCTTTAAAAAAAGATTATTACCTACTGCTCTCCTCAATCTTTTTCCCAGCAATTTTTCCTTTTGGAGCTGCTGATAACTGTCAAGTGTCCACAATTAATTAGTCAAGTACTCAAATATATGGTAAATGTAAAGTAGTGACACAAAGTTCTCCAAATATGAGAAAGTGATCAATTTATGTGTAGGAAGTAAGATTTTTTTTTTGTTTATGCTAAATTAAACTGAATTGATATATTATTTTGTTTTGTTTAAAAAAGTGGAAATTTCAAAAGGGTTTAGGGTGTAGATTTTTTTGAAGTGATTTTTTTGGTATATCACTGATTAATTTCAAATGCCCATCACCAATGCATCTCACAACTCATTCTGATTACCAATTAGTTTTTAGTTATTTTGTTTCATAATCACATTGAAATAGAATGTTTCAGTCTGTCAAACAATTTTTGATTCAGATGCTTAATGTGATTTCTGTCAGGACTGAAATTGTCTTAATTGCACAACACACTTTAAATGCATGTTTTTAAAAAATGCAAATTGTACAAAGCTCACCTGTGAAGCAATATCAACACCGATTTCATCAAGGACCTATGGAAGTCAAATTAAAGACTTTTGTCAGAAAATAGAAGATGAAATAGATGACATATAAGATGAACAAGATCGTTATAACCTCCGTCCCAAAAGAGTCTTGTTTGACCAATGCTTTTAGTTTTGTTAAGGTATGAGTGTATAACTGTCATAAATCATGAGCCATAATCATATTTTTCTATTTCTTTTGTTTGCTAAACAAAACCAGTCATATGCAAATTTGTTTGTGACTCTTTATTGGTATACTGTTGACAAATCACATGAAAACAACGTCAAATTCCAAACTATGAGAGTATGAGTCATGTTTTTCTTCCATAAATGGAAGTAATTACTACTACGCATCATATTTGGAAAACACTACCAATTATGCCATTAATACCACCATATTAATTTCCTGATAAGGCCAAAATATGAAATTATGATTTAGTATGATAGTAATTAACTCCTATAGGGAATAATATAGTACTCCTATTTCAGAATTTCACATTGTTTTTACTCATGTCTTGGGAAATTTCCCAAAACAGGACTCTTTTTTTGGACTGAGGAAGTATATAACTACACTAAGGCTAATTATCATGGCAGTCAAGTGGTGTATGCAAATGATTTTCGACAGGACTCATGTATTAATTAAGGTAAAACAAATACAAAAGGTTTTCATCAATTTTACTCCAGGATCAGCATAACTTTTTAATGAAGGTCCTAAAGGTTATCATAACTTTTTAATATACCTGGTTCGTCAACTCTTCTGTTTCGTCTTCAGCTTCATCATTGTCCAAAGCATCATCTATGGCATCTGACATCATCTCTGTCTGCACAATATAGCAGCAGCTTATTTAATTTTCTTCACAAAAGATCCTATTTTTCTGACCATGTGAGTATCATCATTCTTACAATCATGTCCATGTGAGCTGATTGTTTTTGGAAATCTTGAATCACCTTTGCCTGTTTTGCTGGAGCCATTTGCTGCATTTGGATTCACATGTAATTTCAACAAGAATGAGGAATACAAGGTAACAAAAAAACAAACAAGTGAATATGACATGGCTGACAAGGAATACAAGGTAATTAAACCGACTGGTCATCTATCCTTTTTTCAAGGAAAAACCATTATATTAAATCAAACCCATATTTCTCTGGTCATCTTACCTTATTCATGGCTGTCATAGCTTTAGTGGCACCCTTCATGCCTGCAGCAACTGAAGTTTGGGCATGTATTGCTTGTGTGTGAGTTGCTATGCCTCTCATCTGAGCTCGGCTACCTTGCAGGTTAGCAATTTGCTGTCTTAGCCTGATTAGCTGGCGTGCTAGTATCTTAGTTGCAGCCTGAAAATTGATGCAATTAAAAGATATAAAATTGAAAAATAAAGTCCCCTATGCGACTAAAATTTGTATAAATCTGGAATATGATTTTTTAGATTATTTTGCAGAGCCCATGCAATTTGAATGGGAGATTAATAAATTGGAAGTTGGAACACTAAATGAATTCTACAATTTTGTTTTCTACACCAAACATGGAAAATTAGGTTTGCTAATCACTTATACATATTTTGGAATTCATTTATACCACCAAATAGGGGGAAAGCTCCCAAAGAAGACTGCCGCATACTCGCGAATAGAATCGCAATATAGATTAATCATATGTAGATTTTAAGGATCAATAAACTCAATAGGCAATCAAAAGCCAGACCTCATTTCCAGATTTAGCAGTTCTCTTGATCTCAGCAACAAGCTTCTTTTCCTGTCTCAACAGTAACCAAATTATATTCTTTCTAGGTTTAACAATCTACTTATGATTTAAAAACAGAAAACAACTTATTCAGAGCTATAAACAAGTAAAACCGCATGATAATCTTCAGGTTATGATCACACAGATATTCATAATAAGTATGAATAACATCAACAAATTACCTCCAATTGCAAAGCAGAAATTTCCTTCTCTATGCCTGCATCACGATGATAACTCATCAACATGAGTAGCGAAATACAGAGATATGTCACTATTTCCTTGCGCTGTAGTGACAATTCAATTACTCTATATAACTATATTAAGCTTAAGATTTGATTTCACAGGGTCAAAGAACAATACCCATGTGCTTGCTCTCAAATATCTCCCCAAGGGTTAGTTTTTATTACATTTATATCTTCGTTTGTATTTGAGATTTTATAAAAAATGAAGGAATAATATAATAGGTGATCAGATAACATTTCAATCAAAACCTTTATTCATTTTTATAACAACATATATTGAGCAATTCAAAGAGTTACTCTCTACCCAAATGTGACTTTTAGTAAACAGAAACAAGAACAGGCATAACTATGATCACTTAGAAATTAGTATGTTTGTTGCATTCCTTGCATTCTAAATACAGAGAAATTGTTGTTATTTCTTTGTTAAACAGAACCATTACACTTCTAATGAACAATCATAATTCTAATTTATATCTTGAGACAAGGACAAATCCACAGACCTCTGGTGGCATTGGCCATTTCTCGTTTACTGTCTCGGAGTACCTCTGCATTCGTAAAAATCATTTTTGCTTAAAATATAATAATAACCATAATTACTAATAATAACAGTAATAGTATATTAAAAATGATAATAGTAATAGCAATCATAACAACAATGATAGTAACAATAGCGCAATAATAAAGACAGCAAGTTTGGCAGTATAGGTAAGTAGAAATTGAATTACAAAAGCAGGATATGAAATTGGATTCCGTGATCCCGATAAAAAAAGACCTAAAATTCCAAAATTTGATAAGACACAAAAAAGGAAAAATAACCTTTAGCTGTAGGTTTCTTGGAGAATAAATTCATGTTTGGTGTCGTAGCGGGATCCAATTCTAACAGGTTCGGCTCTGTTTCTATATATAATAAGTCTCTGGATTAGCCAATATATACTGATTGGTAAGGTATAAGAAATCAGGGAGTGATAAATTGAAACCTCGAAGTTGAGATTTTGAAGAGTCCCTTGGAATTTTATCAAATACTCCGTATGTTTTGAGAACTGTAAAACTTCAACCTTTGCAGGAGAAGATCCACATGGTGTCAGACTCGGCAATGTTTGGAAAACAAGCCTACTAAGATTACACACTCAAATTTAATTATCTGTATTCACTATCAACAATACTTTCAGTCTTTTACATAATCGGCAAACCAGTAGCTGTAATTGCCCAACATGCCTTTCATCATGTTTTATACGAAGGAAACCAAGTGATTTTTTCTTGAACAGTGAAAATATTTATGATTTTCAAGTGTTTCATTTAGGAAAAATAATAATTTTGCAATTTAAAATGAAAAAGTTAATATTTTAACATACAAAATAAATCTTTATTTTTAACTCTTTAATTTTTTTTTCAATTTCGATTTTATAATTTTTTGTAGTGTTTTCTAAAATTTATTTTATTTATTTAAAGTCTGTAAAGTTGTTACTTTATAGGAACATGAAAGGTGTTTTTGCACATTTTAAAAGTTCAGGGATATATGTGCATTTTCACATAAATTTTAGGAGTATATTTGTTCCAAAAATAGAATAGGGATATATTTGTTCTCAAACTCATACTACAGGGGTATATTTGTACTTTTCTTGATATTAAATCATGTCTGATTTAAGTCGTCTGTATGAGTTAAGATGTCTATTTAGATTCAATGATGTTTGTATATAAGACTGTTTTTATTCTATACTCCGTACTGAATAAATTATCTGAATTGAGCAAAATAATCAATTTAGCATTATTCTAGATTATAAATTTATAATAATGTCAATGAGAAATTTCACTCGTTAGCATAAACGTATTCCACAATTGATTTAAAAAATTTGACAAAAAAGACGCCTTAATGGCTAGGACTACTATTTTCCAAGTCAGTTTTTCTGAATGAATGATTAAGTCATATTTTCAATTAAAACATAAATAAACACAATTTAATGACTGAATAATTAAGTCGCATTTCTTGTTAAGTTTATTAAGTCGAAAGTAAATAGCCTGGTAAGGGTAGGTAAATGGTACATAAGCCACTAGTCAATTCGGATAAAACAGGTAGAAGCTAGCTTGGATTGGGTATTAATTAATTTTATAAAAATCAAGTCGGGCGGATGATGGGTTTTAAGAAAACGGAACACACTGATCCTAAATTTTGAAAAATAGATACTCAGATTTAGGGGTGGGCAATCCGGTTGATGATTCGGTTTTCTTCGATTTGCGGTTTGGTTCGATAATTTATTCGTTTGGGAGATATTGTATCAAACTAAAGAATTTGTGTTCGATTTGGTATCGATCGGTTTCGATTGGGTTTGCTATCGCCTTTCCTTGTGTCATTTAATTTTCTTTCCTTGTCTTTTACTTTTCTACCACTTTTGCTTTGTAGATTTTTGTTCTAGTCCCCTGCCAAATGTTGTATTTTACTATCTCCGTCCCATAAAGGTTGGTCAATTTGACTTTTCTTGGTCAATGGTGTTAAAGTTTAGACAATGATTTTAGGTATTATATTTAAGTGTAATTTATAAATTTTATACTTTTATGAAAGATCTTTTGATAAAGAATAAGCTCATATAATTTTCATATTTCAAATAATTTTGTATTAAAAGATATCATTAGTCAAAGTTGATAACTGTTAACCAAGAAAAGTCAAATTGGCCAACCTTTTTGGGACGGAGGGAATATTACTTTTAATATATTGGTTAGGTGGTCCCTAGCCCTCACCCCATCTTTCAATGGCTTGCCACTATAAAAAATCATAGGATGCACATCATTAGCAATTTAATTAGTTAAATCTTGGAGCGGTGATTCGAACAAATCTTGAATTGACATTCAAAATAAAACAATATTTCAAAAATGTTATCAATAATAAACTAAAACATAACATCCTACTCCTAATAATTTATTAAGTTTTAATAAATTTATTATGAATTTACTGAATCATAAGACCCATATATTTTTGCTAAATATATTATGCGTATATTTTTTATAGATGTCAATAAACTTATTATTAAATCACTAAATCAGAATAAGTCATGTATTTTCCACAATTTTGAATTCACACTTAGCTTATTTTCAAAAATAACTACATGTTTTTGAATTAATTAAAAGATTTTACAACATATGACTCCTAAGTGTAGTTTGTAGTAGGTACTCTAATTACAAAGATCATATATTCATATGACAATTTTTTACACATTCAAGTAACTTCATTTATATGCTTAAGTTAATTATATTTCAGTAATATTTTTAAGAGCTCGTTTGGTAACTTAGTTTTTTGGTTTATCAACCAAATTTTTTACCAAACACGTAACTTTTGATTTTCGCGCTATGGATTGTGTAATAATTAGAAAAAGTAAGGTTGTATTTACTTTTCTTCCTGTATTGATAGAAGTTATTGTAGAAGATCATTTTATCTATTTTCATACAATTTTTTCTTTGTTTTATTAATAAAATATTTTTTCATAAATTAGTAAAATCAGTCAAATCAGGCACTTCGGTCGGAATTTCTAAATTTCAGCACAATGTATCATTACAAACGATTTGAGTATTACGGAGTACCAAACAACTTCAAGAGCCCCTTTGCTAACACCGAAATCAGCTGAATTGGCTTATCCTGTTAAAATTTATGGAATTCTAATTGGAGTGGCAGTATTGTCCAATTCTGCTGATTTATGGAAAAATTATATTTAAATTATATTATATTATATTGATAATATATATATATATATATAGGAAAATGTTCAAGTAAGGTAGGCCTAAGAATTGAAATTCTTAGGCCTCTTTCATTTGAGGTGCTTCCCGGTCATATTTTTTGATGAAATTTTGTGAGCATGTTCTCCATGAAGTGTTGACTATGCCCACCAAATTTCAGATTAAAATTCAACCGGGAAGACGGTTAAATAATTTTTTCAAAATTGTGCAGGGTTTTACATATATAAAATGCAATTTTTTATCAATAATTTATTTAAATGACTTCCCGATTGAATTTTATTGTGAAACTTGGTGGACATAATCTTCAATCCATGGAGAACATGCTTGCAAAATTTCATCAAAAAATTCAACCCGGAAGCACCTCAAATAAAAGAGGCCTAAGAATGGTAATTCTTAGGCCTACTTTACCTTAGCATTACCCTATATATATATATATATATATATATATATATATATATATATATATATATATATATATATATATATATATATATGACTAATATTCAGGTCCGGCCAGGCCGGACCACTGCCCCCGTCTGGCCTCCTCCATTTGGGGGTCTTCCCGGTGGTATTTTTTTCTCAATTTTTTTGTGTAGGTTCCTCATCAAGTCCAGTTCATCCATACCAAATTTCAGTCAAAAATTCAATCGGGAAGGTCGTCAAATGATTTTTGCAAGTTAACTGGTCCGGAATATGTATTTTACGGACCAGTTAACTTGCAAAAATCATTTGACGACCTTCCCGATTGAATTTTTGGCTGAAATTTGGTATGGATGAACTAGACTTGATGAGAAACCTACACAAAACAATTGAGCAAAAAATATCACCGGGAAGACCCCCAAATGGAGGAGGCCGGACGGGGCTCCGGTCAGGTATACCTGACCGGAAGACTACTCATATATATATATATATATATATATATATATATATATGAAAATAGCTAAAATGGTCATCAACAATAACTTAAGCCGATATAGCCATAAAAGTAACTCCAACCTTACTTTTTCTTATATTTACAGAATTCAGCTCGCGAAATCAAATTACATATTTGGTAAAAAATTGGACCGCCACATATGCATCCCATTAGCGAGTGACCCGCTGGCATGACAAATAACCTGCTAATTGACTCAATCAAACTTTTTCCAAAGTGTAAGGACTTGGTAGATTTTTTATATGAGTACCCTAATTGACTTTTCCGTTATAGTACGAGGACCAAATTGATAGTTTTTCATTGTTTTTACGATACTTGTAGGTAGAACACAATACTAGTTTGGGTTGACCTTCCATGTCTCGATTTGGTGTGTGACCCGGTCATTTTGATCATATCTCTACATCGATATAGTGGCCTATCGCCTCCCTCCTGAACCACCGCCGATCCAGGAAGATGACATTGGATGGATTGCTTTCTTTCCGGTGGCTGGTCAAACCAGAACAATTTATGCACTTGGCTCTTTACCGGTGGTCGAAAAAACCGGCAAGTTCAATAATTCCTTTTCGGTGGCTGGTCAAACCGAACCCATTTCGAGTAGCATGAGCAGACACACTGCAGTACGAGTTTACATTGTTGCATAATTAGAGAACATAAATGCTTTTATATGGCGTTTTTGTTCTTTGTCTCACCCTAGCGGAGTATTGAACACTATGATTGTGATGTTTCAATTTTTAGTTGTTATGTTTCTTGTTAAAATGTGATTATTAATAAAATGATTATTTGATTACTAATTTATAGTGCCATTTTTAAATTCGACCATCCTTAACTTTTCTTCCGTAATTTAAGGGCCATTTTTTCTTCCATATACCTGCTGTTGGAGTAACGAGGAAAATAATACTCCGTACCAAACGCCCGATAAAAACTCTCCTTTTCCCTATCTCCAATCTGCCATCGCCGCCGCCAATCCAAGGCCACCATCTCCGTCGCCGTCGTCCAGGTGCACCGTCTCTGCTCATTTCTTTCTTCTTCTCCTTTATTCTTCTCGTTAATCGATGTTGCTTCTGGATTCGTTAGTGATCCATATGTAAACGCCGTAGTTGGTTTGCCAATCGGCATATGCAAATGAGGTTGAACTTCAGGGAATCATCTTTTTGTAATCTATGAGCTCATTAGTAGGTTTTGGATCAATGCAAATTTAAATTCTAATAGAAATTACTCCCTACTATGTGTATTCTTTGATTGTCTTAGTTGATTCTGATTCAAAATAATGTATCAGTTTTAGGCCTTCTTAAGATGTTAAGCATCAAGCATGAGCTGGCTAATGTACTGGATCTCACAAGGTTTATACTTGGTGGTCATACGAAATCATATTTGAATTTCTATGGATGTGTCTGAAACACAGTCTATAGATCTTATTGGCCCTACACTAAACCACTCACTGACTCACAAGGTTCATAGAAATCCCCTACTCCACAGTCTACAGATCTTCTATTAGTTCTCTAGCTTTGAAGATATGTGTACGAGACACCAATCTTCGATATCTTGTTTTCACTTTTAGAATCAATAAAAATTTGCATT